TTGAATGGGGGAGAAAAATAAAGGATGGTTAAACCAGAAAAGCCACACACTGTCAGTGGAAGTTATTGGAACGGCAGAGACATACAGGGACATGGTATCTCTCCCAGGGACACAAACCACTTTCTACCAGAAAATAACCTGAAAGTATTTTTAGATCCATATCACCAAATTTTAATTCAACACAATTAAGTTTGTCAAAAGCAGATATTTATGAAATAAAAGTTGGACCTATCCCTTAGGAAAACAAGGTGTTAAATGACTGGGCGACTCCCAACTCAGAGATCCAGCCTAGCACTATCTGTTAATTGCAAAGAGAGAGGGAAGTCAAGGCATCCTTTTTTTTTCTCCCAATGCAGTTCTCCTCAACCATCCTGATTGGGAGACTTCTGAACAGAAGTAAAAACCAAATAATGTAATGCCAACCCTTTCTGCTCCTTCCCAAAGACAAACAACTGCCACCCAGCAACCAACGGTTCAGAGCTGTGGCAAGTCCATTCCAACATTTTGCTAGAGAAAGAACACAGGCACAACTTTCTCCAGCTGGACTAAGGAAACTAGAAAATAAGACCCTCTGGAAAGGCGGACAAAAATGACCAGAAACACTGCAGAACTTTTTTAAATAGTCTCATAAAAAAAAAGGTCTTACACAAGAAAACCAACACCTAATCATTTTTGTACTATACAGACATCAATCTAGGATGTTATAAACAAATTGTCTGTAAGTTAAAGGACCTGAAACATCATTCATTCTGCAGCTTGACACTTCAAGCTGTTGTCATCTCAGGAGGCCTAACAGTACAACCTTGGGAACCATTCTAGATCACACCAGAGACCCCTGAACCTTTCCACATCAAAGAAATTACACTCAAGACAGTCTGAAGTTCAGAATATATTACTTCAGTAAAAATAAGTTAGGAGACAACGAGCTGTGAGTTTGCAGAGTAATTCTGGTCCAGCTCAAGCAAACTGAAGAAAGAAGTGAAAAGACACCATTTTGATATAGCCCAGCAGTAAGATATAAGCATGTTCTTACAGATGGCTGTTTACAGATCCTTCCCGACCTGATATTATCAATTAGGCTAACGCAGAACCAGGTAAAAGAAATACAGAATTCAGCTTCAGCTTCAATAATTTCCACCAGCTTTAGCCAAAGTATTCCTTATGTAAGCACTTCAAGAAAACATAAGGACATAACATGATCTTAAAGGCCAAACCGAAAAATTCTCACTAAATGTTTAAGTTCAGCATACATTATGATGACAACTGAAGATACAACAAAGGATGCCTTTCACAAAGGGATGAAATTCCTTTCCTGTTTGAATAATTCATTGAGAAACACTGCGTACAATTAAAGTACAACTTATTTTTCTACTTCATAAGACAATGCCAATAAGCTCTCATGCATACGACTAAGTAGTTAAGGTGGAAGAAGGAGGTGATTTTGTCTGAAAGTGAACCAAGAGATACCAGCATAAGCAACAAAAGAACCCAACATCACCACTCTACTCACAGCTGCTATATCCTGTGACAGTACACACAAACTAATGGATTAACAAAAGCTAGTAACAAATGACAACAAAAAAAGTCCACAGGAACAAGTAGGAAGTCCAGACTTTCAGGATTATTCCTGCAAAAAGATCTACATGCTGTTGTAGCCCAGAATCCTTTAGGAGCTATTTTCTGGTAGTGATGTGGCCATTTCTTACCAGCACTAAGTGCCACAATCCGTTTCTTAGTTTGCTGACTTCATACCTTAGAGCAAGTGCTACATCTTCAGTTTGCAAGGAAAAAAACCTGGAGTAACTACACAAATTGAGAAGACTAAATAAACTACGCCCGGCTGCTTGTAACAGAGATTGCTGTGGAAGAGGTATTTGGAGACTGTACAAAACAAATTGAAACCAGTATTTCTAATCATTAGTAACTACGATATCTAAAAGTACTGTGGCAGTATTATATTAGTGTGTCAGAGACTAAAAGGAAATTCTGAGGAGGTTGTAAGGCCATGTGAACTCAGAAGTTTAAAACTTGGTTTCAGCTGACTGACTAAAGAAACTTGATACTCTGACTAGAACTTTTAGACAGAATTTGGAATTAGCGATTTTGATTTCAAGATACAACAAAGGAAGAGTTTTATTTCTTTTGAAGACCTTCTTCCTTCCTTAATTTCCAAATACAATAGCAGTATAACTAGTCTGAAGGCTGCTCTTAAAACACAGGACCACAGCATGTACTACAAATGCCGGAACACATCAGTTCCAAGTATTAAGAGAAGTTTTCTTTAAAGCTTGAATCATTAATTATAGATTCAAAATGACTTCAAGCTCAAGAACAAGTCCGCCAGCCACAGAAAACTGCAAACAGAAGAAACAGCAAAGGCACCGTATGAGTTGTAGAGATTACGTACTTTTAAAATTTATTTCTCTTGCTCATACTTGTCTAAGTATATTGCATGTAACTCTAGGATGTTATAATCTCCAGCTGTCAATTTCATTTAGTAAGAGAGCTACATGTGAAATTCAGGTAGCATCATCATTACAGTTCCGCCATGCTGTTGGGCAGAAACATCAGTGACACCAGGTTAATGCTTTATGACACTTTGAGCCACAGTAGTCACTAACACAAGAAAAAAGTCACTCTCATATCCCCAAAAGCAAGGCTGACTTAAAACACTTCAGGTATCTATATGGGTCCACTGATCGTCAACCTTTTAGATGAGGTTAGGAGCCCATATTGCCATTACTTGCTTTCCTGAAAGCTCATAGAAGCATTACTAACACTGTTCCCTAGGTATAAAAGCAGCAACTGCATAGAAGCTACAAGACAATTTGCATTCCTTTCTCTAAACTAAGACTCACTCCTTTGAAAAATTTTAACTAGAGAATTTCAGCTTTATAAAGATGATAAGGAAAAAACAAAACAAGGCATGTCTTAGGGAACAATTAAGTTGTTCTTCATTTAAGCATGCCTCAGAGTTTGATCCTATTCACAAACCAATGTGAACCAAAGAGAGATGGGCAGTTCATGTAAACCAACAAGTGACAGATACCTGAAAGCACCACTTTGCAGATAAAAATCTTCAGAAATAACAGTAGTTCTTAGAAGCTAAACAGAATCCTAAACATAACTTCTGAACAGAAACCAGACTATCACCTAATCCTTCAAAAAGGCTAAGATTCCTATCTAAAGTGGTCTCAGGGAGGTTGTGTGGTGAGGTGAAAACTCTAAGACAGCTTTGCAGACTACACTATATTTATTTATTTGGTATCACATGCTTTAGCCTAACCTACCAAAGCCAATATTCTGATTAGGCAAGTATTTAAGGTAGTATGTCTGCTTAGATCTCCCCTACATCCACTTTATGCTGGGAGAGCAGAGATAAAAATGGAAAACCCTATATATATCCTTTCTTTCCAAACAGCTGTTTTTATTAGTGTTTGATTTACTTTATTAAGAAGCTCAATATTAAACACTCACTCCTTATCCCCTCTACAAGTCTGAAAGTTATCCCAGAGTTCTTGTAAGCTTCCAGGCAAAGATTAGTATATACTGTACATCCCACTTACCAAAAAGTAACTCCGTAATTTCTGCATTGACCTTGTTCCCAGTTCTAGTTAAGAGACCTGAAAGCGGGAACAAGGATCATATAAAAGTTAATGAACTTTAGCTGGCAAGCAGGACACACAGCATCAAACTAACCTCTACTGAGCTCACAAATTCTTATAATGTAGTAACTTGTTCCATGTCAACTGCTCCTTAGACAAGACAAAACTTCTGAAACAGCCAGAAGTAATTCATAATACTAGCAGAAAGAAGTCTCTCGCCAACTCTTGGCTACTGTTTTGGAAGCAAAGGCTACATGGCTTAAAAAAAAAAACAAAAAAACAAACCAAACAAACCATTTAAGGATCACAGATAAAACATCTGTTAACAAGGGTGCATTGAAACAGAACAGACCACTAGTTTGCTTTCATGAATTTTATTAAGCAGAATAAGCATTAATATACATTCAGGTAGGCATTCTGCCAAAACAGCTCAATACAGTTTTAATAAGGCATATGATGATCTAAATGAGCAGGTTCAGTTACCAGACACAACATGGAAAAACGGTCAGGTTATAAAAGATTGATACACGAAGTTACTGTGTATCAACTTTAAAGGAATTTAAGACACATTTTTCGCTAACAATACCTAAGAGCAGATACAGAAGAACTTTAGACCCATCTCATGAGAAGCTACCCCATACACGCAGAGAAGTCCTTTTACTTCTAAGACTGAGCATTTGAAAGAGCATCACTTTATCAGGTTGCTTAAAGAAAGGAAGTGTTAAAGACTTAAGAGCCTTCTTTCAACTACATTTCTTTAAAGCACGTGTCTCCATATAAAAGTTTCAGGTTTGTTTTGGGTTGGTTTTTTCTGTTTGTTTATAAGAAGACACACAAAACATCTTAAAAGTCAGGACAGCATACTAATTGCCTCACTTGGAAAACTATTCATGGCTACTAGAACCAGAAAGTCACAGAGTAGAGAAAAGTCATCTTTAAAAAGCTAACAATTCAAGGTTGACATATTTCATGGAGTCTAACTCTTAACATGGCCTCAATTATCTGGAGCCAGGCAGAGGCTTTGATAATAAGAGTTCATAAAACATCCCCAGTCTGATCAGACTGGTTAGGCCGGCCTTGTTGATGAATCATCTTTCGCTCTTCTTTCTCCATAAGGTCTGGTCAGAGGAGGAAAGCCTCTGGGGTTTTTTATGCTAGTGACAACAAAGAAGACATGTAGAAAGGAAGTCTCCTATTGATAATACTTCAGAAACATCTTCACTACTGAGCAATTCCAGGATTTCCAAACTCATAGGACGGTGTTCTTCTGAAGTAAGACTATGACTGGAGTCAAGCATTGTATCCGACTCCTGCTCTTGCAAAACTAAGCAAATTGAAACCAGATCAGACATTCCTTCTAGTGATAAAATACTTAATGTAGTATGTGGTCTTTAACAGCTAGATTTTTAAAACTAAGTCTACTGCTGAAATAAGATTACTTGTACTGGTTGTGTTCATTAAGTATTTAGTGACCTAATCAGCACATATTTTCCATGCTATTGTTTCAGTGCTTCCAGCATTTTCAATATCATTCTGCAACTCCTTTGGGGGAGGAACCAGGAAATTAACATGAATCCATTATTTCTAACCTAATACATAAAAAAAGTCTTTCAAAGACCAGACTTTAAGAGTCTTTCAGAACTACAGAGGTCTGTATCTATATTCCTTGGCGTTTATTTCAACCATCATTCCAGTTACACACCTAATGAAGACAGGACTGTTTATTATTTGAAGCATGACACAAACGTCAGCAGACACCTTACCTGGGCCCATTGCTGTCTTTCCTCTTGGCTGAAACACTGCTTTGTTCTGGTTTTGCACCTCTGTCCAGATGCTCACTAGCATTCCTCTCCACAATTTCTCCCTCATCCAGTGCCCTGTGCAAACGGTAATTCACCATCTTCAAAACGATAAAGAGAGCTGCTATCACCGGGCAGTAGACAGCTACTATCATCATGGAAGAAGGAAGGGCCTTTCAAAAGAGAGTAAGAAAGAGTTAATGAGCGCAAGGTCAAAAGTCCTTAAGAACACATAAAGCTATCTGGAGCTTAACACTTTTTTTTCATAGAGAAAATGTCGATCATACTGAAAATGAAGGTTTAAACACACACCCCCTACAGTCAAACTTTGTATGGAGACTGTTAGAAGTCTAGCAACGTAGAAAGAAAACCCAAACAGTTGGGTCTACAAGATACGAAAGCACCACAGCAGCATGTTAAGTAAACCTATCACTGGAACTTGAAAACCAAATTCAACTCTTGGGGTTTTTTTTCCTAGGCTATTAGAATATAAGATCCAGACTAGGAAACCTAGAGCTAGCATGACTTGTGTCATGTCTAGTGCTTTTGATTAGTTGTTATGAATAAAAAAAGATGGAAAGATTTTAAGCAATTTTAAACCAAGCACAGGGTATGACCTTATTTCAGGGCTAGTAAACAGCACCAAGTCCATTTTGGAAAAACTGATGTGAGTTTGACAGCATGGTTTATGGGATAAAACATGCTCAGCCAGCCAGCATAGACTTAGCTTGTCAGATTCCAACAGCTACTCTTGCACAACAAGATACTGATCAGTCACGTAAGTCAAAAATTTCCCTACCTGCATAAAAAAGGGGGGAATATTTACCTCTGTGGCTCACACATTTGAGCAGTAGTCCACAACAACCTGCACACAAAGACTATTTGTGCTACACCATTACATGCTCATGGAAAGGCAGCCACCGACTTCTGAGGAGAATTTTTAAGCTGTGTTAAAGGTGGCCACAAGCCTCATGAAAAACCTCAGTCCTGAATCCATCTTTTGAAATTCTACTCAGTTAAGACTTCTCAGGCAACTTTTGCTGAGGTCCATGCAGCTTTCACAGATCAATCACTTCAGCAATAGATACTGATAAGTGTGCCCTAATAACTATTTAAGACAAATATTCAGAGTATTAGTTAAACTTGAGGTTTCACTTCAAGGCTTTCACCCTTCCAAGTCACCTTTTATTTGTATTTATAATTTTGCCATTTTCCCAGGAAGCCACTGAACAAAATATAGTCTTCAACCACAAACAGACCACTTCCCTGACAGAAGCAACAACAACCTGTATTCTCAAATATTTTTGCTGCATCGCCATCCTTTACCTCTCTGATGGCGTAGTTTGAGATAAAATTCCAAAAGCCATAAATGTATATACACATACATGAAAACCCTAATTAAACAGCATTTTTCACCAGCACAAACATTAATTCAGTAGACAAGAAGAACAATTAACTGTCTTTTTAAACCTCCTATTCTAAGGAGAATTTCAGCTTGTTTTGCACACCTAGTCTCCCTTCCTATGCAGACCATTATAACAAGAAGAACCTTTACAATGATCAAGGCTCTACACACGTTGCGGAATCAGAACAGGAACATGACTGGAGAATAAGACAGAGAATCCTCTTTATTCTGCACATAAAGCCAGTTTTAGTCATTTAGAAGAGATCCAATTACAACATCAATATTTCTAGATATTCAAGAGCTTATTAGTACTAGAAGAACCGGCAGCTCGCATCACACAATTTAAGTCATGAGTTTAGCAAAAACCACTGTTTGAAGACATCTCCAAATACAAAATACCATACAAAAAGGACAAAAAGAATCGACTGTTATAAATATTGTATTAGCTGTTTACTTCAGAACCAAACCATTCAATCTGGCTGCTCACTCTCTGGCAGTAAGCAAAACCAAATAACCAATGTAACACTTCTAAAGTATGGAATCTGTCAGGAGGCAGGTTACTTATTATGATTTCTTTTTCTTAAAGAGATCAAGCTTAACCTACCTTTCCCTCCAAAACAAGCTAAATCAATACCTAATATAACATCCAACTAAACTGAGGCATGTTTTCGATTTTGCATGCTGAACTGGACAAGACCCTAACAGACTGGGAAATTCACTTAACCAAGCACCACCTCAGGAGGCGAAAGAGGAAACAAAATTAGTTAAAAACAGCACCAGGAGCCACAGTGGTGCTAATGGCATCCATACAACCCTGAGGCAATGCTACAAGGGATTCCGTGCTTCCAGAGCTTCAGGGGCAGCTAGCTCCCTGCAGGGAAGGGCAAGTCCGTTAACTTTGCCAAAACATACCCACTAAGCAGTCTGCTACTCAATCACAAACACAACTTCAAGTACTCTCTCCTTTACAAGTACCTAGTACTCAGAAGCTATTGCCAGAAGAGTCGGTTTAACATCAGGTGACAAAAGCTAGAGTCAGTCTACGGAAGACAAGGCCATACTTTTCTGTCTGGAGAGCTCTTCAATTTCTCCCCTCCACTCAGGCAGCAGTGAGGCACACAGCGCATCCAGTTTATCTTGCAGAACTCAAAATCTACACATCCTGTTCTGCAAAGGAGAGCTTTGAGAACAAGTAGGAGAAAAAAAGAAAGGTAGAACATCTCATGTAACTTGCAGCAAACCCAGTAAAGAATTAAAGAGTGCTTTTTCCTCACATCCTGTTTCCACGGAGTTGTAGAAAGGTAAAATAAGGTAAGTTAACTCACTGCTTCTCATTCTTCATGTAGTTATTCTTCTCTGGATAGGGCATATACTTGGGGAATGTAAGAAATTTTAGCACGTCCAGCATACTGTGCTGTCTGATCATACTATCAGCAGTGCTGCCTATGGTAACAGCAACTCATCTGCATTCCAGCCTCGAGAGGAAGAATTACTGCAATCTAACTTAAACCACTGGTGTCTTCTCTATTTTTCTTTGCCAAACTTGGAAGCATTCAGCTTCAATTTGGGGTCTTCCCTCCACAAACCACAGCAAGTTAAAGAGAGATTAGTATTTTAAACTGTGCTGCCTTTTTTTTTTTTTTTTACCACGTGAGGAAAGTCTCTCACCAGTATAACTGAGCATCCTATACAATACCATCTTCAAGACTGGAATACAAATTTAAGTCCTACAAATTTGCATCTAGATCTTAGTTCAATTCTTTTCACAAGTACTAGCTTCATTTTTATGGGGCAAGAGAGACTAAAAAACTCAGGTTAGAGCTTGTTAGCAGACACCAGCTGGCTACAAGTCTGTAGCTGCAACAGCATTTCAGAGAACATCCCATTTTACTGCACATCTCTAGTCACCTCCATTAGTACCAAAAGAAAACACACACTGAACAGCAGTCATCACAACCAAAGCTCTTGCAGGGGAGAAGAAAGAGCTAGACGTGACCATACAAAAACTGCTCATTTTAATTACATTTTGTTGAAAACTTCAATCATCTAATGGCTGAACCAATCCAAGCATTAGACAAACTCCTAGCTGAAAGTATTTCCCTAAATCTCAAAGGGAAGTTAAATAGTACTTTCAAAGATGGAGGGGAAGGGAAAGGACACTGATTATTTTTTTTTTAACTACCTTTCCCTAAGAAGTTACTTGCCAAATCTAAACCTTTCAAAACAATTTCTGAAATCCATACTATTATACCTACAGATGAAGATAAGATGCAGGAACGTACAGATGAAGAACAGGAATATGCCTTCTGAAAGCTGCTGGCACTTAGGCCAACTTAGTTGTATGACAGCATACCTTTTGGTAAAAAGCTGGTAGAAAATGCTTTGAGTAGTCCTAGATTCCAGTGGTCAACATAGAACAGAAAAAAGAAGCCTCAGACCACTAGTTATGAGACTAAAATACTCTCATTTGAACTACAAAGGTAACTATATATGTTGATTCAACATTTCAAATATGTAAGTTCCAGGAGCTAGAGGGAATTTCATTGATCACGGGCTGTGCCACATACTTATGAAGACTATATGAGTCTTTCCTAATCACATCTAGCTTCAGCTAGACACTGCAGATGCAGCGAGGTTTCCAGATTCTTTTCAAAGAGAGATGTGTAGGTGTTACCTGTTGAGAACGTTCATAGGAAAGTCTCTCAACAAGATTGCAAGCCTTTACGTTAAATTGCTATCAATCAAGCATTCATTAAGCGGTAACAGCTGTCTTGTAAAATGCTTTCAAGTTCAAGCATTTTGAGGCAGGTATTTTATAGAAACATTTGTACTGGAAAAGAGGAAAGAAAGAAACACCAGCTGTAATTTTGTCACCATTTTTTGTTTATGAACAGCCAGAGCCCTTAAGAACTGCTGTTACCAGGAAGTGTGTTCAGTTACAAGCTATCTACATTTTGACTGAAACCTCCAGGTGTACAAATGAATCTTGAGTAGCCACAAAACTAGATGTGGTTTAGAGCAATGCGATATACCACAAATTCTCATCATACACCCAACTTAAGGCAGTCAAACTCTGAAACAGCACCTATTTCAGCAACTTCACTGGAAAAAGAGTTTTGCACAAAGTGACATCTATATGACCTACTTCTCTAACTATGTACACAAGTCAAGAAATCAAGTGCCTACTAAGTGAATTTTTGTCTAAACGAGCTTGACTTTGACAGACAAGTTGTGTAGGTACGCACAAGCCCGTCACTCCAAGCAAGGTACAGTCCTGGCTCCTCTTCAGTCACCGGCAAAGTTCCCCGAGCGCTGGAGCCAAGACTTCACCCCCTCCTGCGCACGTGGTGGGGCCGAAACAGCATTCCGACTAGGGGAAGTGTTTTAGCAGCCTCCTCTTTTCCCATCCCCCTTGCAACACTGATGCACAACACTTGCCTCTTCATTTAGGGTATTTTTCCCAACTCTACCACTGTATTTTAAAACCCAGCTCTAGTTTCCCCGCATTGTGGCATATTTTCTTCTCCCAACTTGAGTTTTGGATTAGAGTAAAAACAGGGATCAGCTCTTACAACAGATAAGCAGATCAACGAGCAGAGTTGAGTCTGTTACTGAATACAAATATCCAAACAGGATAGATCTAGAAAGCGGTATTTTTGTATGCGTGCTGCCAAGGCACAGATCCAAGCCTCAAGCAGATATTTCTCTTTCTCTACACCCCAATTCCTTCATTATCTACACTTTTCCTTTTGC